ATTGAATATTCTTTCTTTCGACTGTAATATACCTCGCCTTGCAGTGCTGGCTTGCGATATAAAACAACATGTGTGCCATCAGTTGACAAAATACATTTACGAAATCCATAACGTTCTGCATTGTACATGGCTAATTGGCTTCGTTCAGATGAATTAGGCCACATAATTTCCGATTGTGACAAAGATACAAATGCATGAATAACACGCTGTGTGTAAACGTGCACAGTTCCACTCCCAATACCTTTGGCCCTTGACACCATAATAACTGAAGCACCAGTACCTTTGTGACCAAGACGATGCAAGGCGCATGCTAGCTGCACCCACACTGGTCGTTGTGTGCGATTGCTAGTTGGTAGAAACACTTCATTCTCACAGATCAAATGCACGAAATACGCAAATGTTGATTGACACACTCTGACCTCTAGCACAAAGTCACCAATGGCTAAGTGTGGTAAAATGGAAAGCTGTCCAAGTGAGCGAACCAATGGCACTCGTGCAGACATGTAGCGAGAACTAATTAGCGCACATCGAATGGTTAGGAGCTTCTGTACCTCCTTCTTAGTCGTAGCCGACAATATTGGATTGCACGTCACAAGCGTTCGAACCATGCCATCGAGGTCGGCCAATATCGCCGACCTCTCCGACCTCCGTGGCATTTCCAGCAATGCTGCATAATATACGGATACGGATAGATGAAAACGGTTGGTTCTATTTTGACTCTCCCTTGCTTTTCCTGCCTTCCAACTTACTTTTCAGATTGGGCGAAAATCGAAAATGAGTGGAGAATTTCTAAACTGACTCTCCCTATTGAGTGGGTGTGTCACCCACTCACTCACTCGGGGAATTGGTCTCCAAACCGGTCCAGGTCCAGAGAAATCATAGGTACTGACAGCTGTGAAGCGGGGGGTATACGGTACTGTAACTTAGTACTGGCCTCTGTTTACATATGGTGCATTTCATTTAAAGACTACAGATCGGCCATCCTCAGGAGGAGACGTTTTAGTTTAAACGCCTCGGTTCTTTCAGTTAACCCACGTAATGTTGACGTTAAATCATTATTACTTACGTTTTTTATCTGGATACAATGCAGACGTTCGTACGGATACGTGCTCTTTACAAAGACCAAGATATATGCTCCTTTTCAGCCAAAATGTGCCTGGCTCGAGTAATCAGCCTTTTTGTATTTCCATACAAAAAGGCTGATTACTCGATCAATTTTTCACCAATCGAAATTTTGAACCGTAACTTCTGTTGGTCTTGTCCAGTTATTTTCCTAATATAAATATCAATACAAAGTTGGAATACTGTCGAAAGACAAGGCATTTTTTTGTAGTCTTTAAATGAAATGCACCATACAAATTTCAATCAGAATCGATCGATAGATTTGGCGATTCAGCCCAAAAAAGTTCACATTTTGGATAAAAGGACAAAAATACTTGGGAGCCACGTACATCATTGCCTGGCTCGTGAAGATACAGTACATAATCTTAGTGTTGTTGTCATGCTGGCGTGGTTGCAACGCTGTTTGTGTGAGTGAAGGTTTGCAATCCAACCAATTTCGATTTCCACGAATGTTCCGCATGGACAATTGAACCGCACACTTCCAATTCCAGTGTAAAATATCGGCGAAAACATTAAATTCATGCAGCAATCTCCAAATGTACATTCACTCTCGGAAAGAATTGGAGCAAGCTTTACCGCTTCGTGATTACAGATACTGGAATGCCACCAGAGGGTTTGAAGTTTGACTGGAGTGTCTCATTTTGGGTTTTGCAATGTTGAGCTCAAACCAACCAAAATACTCCACCTTTGGCGGGGCCGCGTCTATCGTGCATCCTCGCGAGGCTGCTTCGTGGTTCTCCCAAGTGTTCTTGACGTGGTGTACACCGTTGGTGCACCTGCAATATGCCCTCAACATCGAGGATATTTGGCAGTTGGAAGCCGCCAACACTGCAGAGTCCAACACCAAACGCTTTCTCACGGCGTTTGGGCGCTCGAAGTCCGTGTTTCGCGCGTGTGCCAACGTGTACGGTGCATGGTTTGCGGTCGCAGGGGTGTTGGGGCTGGTGCTGCGACTGCTGGAATTGGTTGGGCCGATTGTCCTGCAAAAGATTGTTGGCGCCACCAACGACAGGGCATCCTCCCATCTTTACTACTGGCTGGCCGTCCTTCTCGTATCCAAGGTGGCCCGCGCCATCTTGTGGTCGCATATGGTCATGTTGGAAGACATCCTTGGCATTCAGTACGTGCATATTCACCCATTCCTAGGGCGTATCTCATGCGTTTGTAGGTTTGTGGGGGGACTCAAAGGCGCCTTGTTCCAACGCCTCGTATCCAAGGCCAGTGTCCAGCCGGGGGAAGTCCCAGACTTGGCCAACGTGTATTCGGCCGACATGGACAACCTACTGTGGGCCAGCATCTCGTTCAACAATCTGTGGATCATGCCCACGCAGATCCTTGTCATTTCGTACCTGCTGTACCAAGAGTTAGGGGTCGCCGCCTTTGCCGGGCTTGGCATGCTCGTGCTGAGTCTCTGCCTGGGCGCGTTCATCTCGACCATTCAATCCAAAGCATTCGACCGCGTGTCCACCGCCAGAGATGACCGCATGCAAGCTGTCAAGGAAACCTTTGGGTCCATCCTCATTGTCAAGCTGCACGCGTGGGAGCAAAGGTGTCGCGCCAAAATCCAATCCCTTCGCGACATTGGTTTGTGTTGTCATGATTCTCGATCTGTCTGACTTTGCCTTAGAAATGGGCCACGTATGGACGCTCATGTTTAGCGGCGCCATCTCCATCTTCGTGCTCTGGGCATCACCCTTGTTCGTGTCCATGACGTCGTTCGCCATGTACACGATGGTGCTGGGGCAACCGTTGACCGCGTCCAAGGTGTTCACGGCCTTGGCGCTGTTCCGCCTCCTGCAAAACCCCATGAGCGAAATCCCCGACAACATCACGGCGGTCGTTGAAGCCAACGTGTCTCTGGACCGCATTCAAGAATACTTGGACCAAGCCGACCAACCGACCCGACCAGCTCCGGCTGTCGCCCCCGAGGTACAGTGCATCGGTCATCTTCTTTTCATCTAAAAACGCTAACACTACACGTCCATAGTCTCAAGACACTGTGATTGCCATTGAGAATGGCACGTTCACGTGGGGCGACGACGGGGGGGCTCCGATTTTGAAAAATGTGTCGCTGACCGTATCCCGCGGCGACCTCGTGGTCGTGCACGGCAAAGTCGGCAGTGGCAAGTCGAGTTTGTGCATGGCGATTCTGGGCGAGATGCACCAGACGGAGGGCACGACGGGGGTGTACGGGTCCACGGCGTACTGCTCTCAGGAGCCGTGGATCCAGCAGATGAGCGTCCGCGACAACATCCTCTTTGGATCGCCGTTCGACTCGCGCAAGTACACGCGGGTGGTGGAGGCGTGTGGGCTGCTGCCGGACTTTGGGCTCATGGCATTTGGGGATCTCACAGAAGTGGGGTCGAAGGGGCGCAACTTGTCGGGCGGGCAGAAGGCGCGCATCAGTTTGGCCCGTGCGTGCTATTCCGACGCCGACATTGTCATCCTCGACGCCCCCCTCGCCGCCATCGACGCCGTCGTGCAAAAACAGATCATGACCAAGTGCGTGGAAACGCTGCTCAAGACCAGGACGGTCATCCTCGTGACCCACAACGGCGACATCATCTCGTCGCCCAATGTGAATCGGCTCGTGGAGCTAGACGACGGCGGGATGGACTTTGTTCAAGTCAAGCCGTCGGGCCAACTACCTCAAGTCGTCACGGAGCCTGTGGGTAGCAGTTCTACCCACTACGAGACTGACGACAAGACCCGAACGCGAACGTTTTCGGCGTCGTTCGTGTCGCCCCGCTTACTGGCGACCCACAACAAGTGGAGAGAGCACTTTGAACTTGCACTTTCCGAAGACACCAACGACGAGGTCCGCGCCGAGGGCCACGTCGACACGAGTGTGTACGGGGCGTTCATTTCTGCATGCGGCGGCACGTCGACGGTGGTGCTGATTTGTGTGATCCAGTCGTTTTGGCAGGGGTTCCAGATTGCGTCGGACGTGTGGCTGGGCCAGTGGACCGCCAGCTCGGACGCGGCTGAACGCACGACGTGGTACATGGGGGTGTACGCTGCATGCTGCTTTGGAAGCGTCGTGATGGTGCTATGCCGATCCATCGCCATTGCCACGTCGGGCCTCAAGGCGTCGCGGCACCTGTTTGACAGCATGACCACGTCGCTGCTGGGCACGACCATGTCGTTCTACGACGCCAACCCCATCGGCCGCGTGATCAACCGGTACGCCCAAGACACGGCGAGTATCGACACGCGGCTGCCGTACTCGTTTGGCGGGCTCACAGCCATGTTCTTTGCAGTCGTGGGGTCGCTCCTTACATCGCTCGCGGTCGTGCAATGGTTTGGCTTGCTCTTTCTGCCCATTCTGCACCTGTATGTCCGACTGTCCCAAATGTACCTGCGGCCGTCGCGCGAACTGTCGCGCCTGAAAAATATCACGAACTCGCCCGTGCTCACCTACTTGGACGAGATCGAACACGGTTAGTCCACCCTTTTGGGTGATTATATTAACACAGGTCTTGGTAGGGTTTTCTCTGCTGCGCGCGTTTGGAACGACCTACTTGCAGCAAGCCATCGACCGCCACGCACACCATGTCAACGTGAACCATCAGATGTGGTACGCCAAGGTGGCGGTGGACATGTGGTTTGAGACGTGCATCTCCCTGCAAGGCACGGCGATCGTGATGATTGTGGCCACGGGGCTGGTGGTGTTTCGGTCGGCGCTGTCGGCGGGGCTGGTTGGGCTCGCGTTTAACTACGTCCTCATGGCCGACGCGTGCATTGTGGACCTGGTCAAGACGTACTCGTCGCTCGAGGTGAGGATGGTCGCCCCCGAACGGGTGCTTCAGTACTGTGGCTTGGAAAACGAAGACCCAAGTGCACACTCGACGGCCAGTTTGATCTTGACCAAGGGGGCCATCTCGTTCAACAAAGTGCAATTTCGGTATAAACCCACGAGTGAACTCGTGCTCCGCGACTTGTCGTGCGACATTGCCGGGGGGGAAAAGATCGGGATCGTCGGGCGGACGGGCGCCGGCAAGTCGAGTCTCACGATGGTGCTCTTCCGCATGTATCCGCTAGTGTCTGGATCCATCCTCCTCGACGGACGAGACATTGCGACCGTGGCCAAGCAGGACTTGAGGCGGCATCTGTCGATCATTCCGCAGTCGCCCGTGCTGTTCAAAGGCACGCTGCGGCAGTACTTGGACCCGTTTGGGTCGTTTGACGACGCGGCGCTGTGGTCGGTCGTGTCCAAGGCGGGGCTGTACCCGCTCGTGAGCGACATGCCAGACAAGTTGAGTACCGAGGTGGCGGACAAGGGGGCCAACTTGAGCGTGGGCGAGCGGCAGATGCTGTGTCTGGCTCGGGCGCTGCTGGTGCAGGCCAAGATTGTCGTGCTGGACGAAGCCACGGCCGCGATGGACCACGACACGGACGTGCGGCTGCAGCAGGTGATTGCCACCGAGTTTGCCAACGCGACGGTGCTCACGATTGCGCACCGCCTCCACACGATCATGCATTCCGACCGCATCATGGTCATGGACGCGGGCCGAGTCGTGGAGATGGACACCCCCGCCGCGCTCATCGCCAACCAAGGCGTGTTCTACCGCCTCGCCAAGGACGGCGGCGTGCTCGAGCCCTAGATGTTGTGTATGTGATGAGTTTGTATGAGATTATTCTAAGCAAGTCAACGATGATATTCATTCGCTCCGACACGCAACTCTGTACGCTCTCAGTCACGGTTAGAGCCCCTTACACGGTACTGGTGGTATACGCTGTACTTGGAGTATTTGATTTTGGAAAAACAGGTGATTGACATGGATGTGAAGGTGTCTACGACGGCATACTTCGAACCACACATGACTGATTCTCTGCACAATTGTACCGAGTGTTTTCACATGTTATTCGATTACAGCAGCCCTTTATTCGTCGGCAGGTTGGTACACGGGGTTTTCGTCGAAGTTTGCCGGACGTTGGGCCCCTGGTTGTTGGAGTCGATTCCACGGCAGCAGCGTTTGCAGAAACAGCAGCAGCGGGTGGGCATCAGCGGGCAAATTGCCTCCGTTGCGAGCTTGTTCGGCCTCCAATTGCGCTTGCAACTGCGCAATCATGGCCGGGTCCATGTTGTCCAAGTCGAGCATTCCATCGGCATCACCTCCCCCAGCTCCTGGCTGCATCATCATCGGGTGGTCCGGGGGCAGCGTGGTCACTTCGTCCGAGAAATCTATTCGCCTTCTCAATGAACATACAGTATCAGCAACACGACCAGTCGTACCAGGACTAATGGCACGCTTGTATTTGTGCACGAGGGGCGGCAACTCGGTGACAAACGTCCCGCGGTTGTACGAGGCGCTGGCTTGGACGGCGGCTTGGAGCAAGAACGACTGGATGTCGTTCACTTTCCACAGCGACGCATGGCGGGTGACATAAATGTGCAGCAGATGGGACACGACGCCGTGGTCGTCCAAGTGCGGCGCGTTCGCAAACACCGCCGAGCAAATCACATCCTGCCATGATTCTACCATATAGTATGGATTGTTGTTGTGTCTCTTCGAAACTGAGCGGCATGGAGAATGACCAAATATGTACAGAAGAAAAACAATCGGCAGAACCATTGAGCCAGTCAAACCACCATCAAAACCGAATTAGTGTGTGACATAAATTAGTGTGATTACAATCACTTTTTACATACAAAATTCACAGTCAGTACAAAGAATCGATCGATAGTGATTGGGCGAATCAGCACTAAAGTCCACATGTTGGGTAAATGGACAATATCAGCATGGCATATGCAATGGCTTGACTTGAGCGAGTAAAAACGTACTGGAGGTGGTGGAGATGCCGCATTTTTCGGTCAGCGGCACCAGCACTTGAGGAAATTTGGACAAAGTGGACGCGAGGTCGGCTGTCGCACGCGCGACGTCGCCGAGCAAATACCTAATCCCAATGAAGGTACCCCTCGTTACAAGAACAACCTGTATGGAACGAACGTACCGCGCCAGGGCCACGGACATCTGGAGGCCAGGAAGCGCGGCCACCGTCACGGGCGCAAGGCTTGGAACGGCCACGGCCTTGTCCGTTCGAAAAACGATTTCCGTGTTGGATTCGAACAAGTCGACGACATATTGGCACTGGCGGGCCGACAACGCATAGTAGTCCAAGCACAGCAGCACATGCAGCGGGTCTCCCTTCGGGTCCAAGCTCCAAATCAACTTAGCGATCTCAAACGCACTGCGAACGCATCCCCGACGCCCCACCTACGTCGTATGCAAGGCCATTTAGAAATATACTAATCAGGGCCATTTAGAAATATACTAGTGATATAGAAATATACTAATCGAGGCCATTTAGAAATATACTAGTCATATAGAAATAAACTAATCGAGGCCATTTAGAAATATACTACTAGTAGTCATCTAGAAATATACTAATCGATGCCGTTTAGAAATATACTAGTCATATAGAAATATACTAATCGAGACCATTTTGAGATATACTACAGTAGTCATATGGAAATATACTAATCGAGGCCATTTCGAAATATACTAGTCAACGCCATGTGGACGTACGTGTCTCATCAGAAAGAACAGCGCGCGATAGAACGACTTGTTGTCGCCACTTGCAATGTCCATGCGACAAAGCCCAGAGGTGACATGGAATTGCTCGCCCCACGCCAATTCCATAAAGTATACGCATCTACTCGATGCAGTGAGCTTGGTGGAACCCATATATATATATATATATATATAGATAGATAGATAAAATTACTTTTTGATGCAGTCGGTCGAGTGATCCATTTGGCCGTGGTGTTGAAATACTTCGGCCATTTGAAGCAACGCATCGACGTGGTACGGGTGTTTGTGCAGAAAGTGCACAATACTTTGGGGGTCGTGGGTCATCTGAAGCACACGGAACTGCTCTTGCATCTACGTACAACCCAAGCATGAACTCGTATTCCAAGTACATCAACTAGTACTACTACTAGTAGTACCTTTTTGTACTCGATGGACCAGTCGATTTGAAAGTAGTCGGCGCCGTATTCCCACGACGGGCAAGGCGGTTTGTCCACGCGGGTCCAGCGGATGCCCCCGCCGACAAACGTCGGCGGACGAGGCCACGTGTCGTCCGGGGTGACGAGAACCACCTTCTTCGTTGTCCGTCGGGCAGTGTTGCTACATACACCCCAACGAAAGTGTTCAGGAGACGAATGGACTTGGATGGAGTAGTAGGTATGTACCGTGGTTGACCCTTGGCGCTCTTGAGGCTCTCCCGCGCATCTTTGACCTGCAGCAGGTATCGTGGGAAAACAAAATACATGTATGGTGTGTACCCCAAACAAACGCTTCATCTCTTTGTCGGCGTTCAAGGCCCCGGCGTTCACGGCGAGCAACGCATTGCGTTCCATGGCTGGAGGCGGGAGAAACGCGGGCTTTTCTTCGTCGTCGAGGTTGGCTTGGCTAGCCAACGCATGCAGCAAGTCGTCCACGTCATCGTCGACTTCTGCATGCGCATTGTTCCTACAATCAGTTGTTCATGACAATGGAATACGTGGAGGGATATGTACACAGACTTCTTCTTGGCCTGCTTCTTCTTGGACTTTTTGGACAATGCAGGTGGAGGCGCTTGGGCGACAACTTTGGGCTTGGCGATGACCACTTCTTCGTCGGAATCCTTGTCGTCGTTGCTCGATACATCCGAGTCATCCGAGTCATCGAGAAGGTACTGGAATCCAGCGGAGGAACTCTTCTGGGTCACCTCCTCTTCCTCATCCGAGGATTCACCCTTGCTTTGGATAGCTTGGTTGATGCGTCTAGCTTGTCGCGCAGACCTACAGACTCGAGGATCAACGAGAGGTTCGCCTTTCGCCGACAGGACGGACTGTACATGACGAGAAGGGAGCCAGCAATAGGGTAATGACATGGCACTCCAGTTAACGCAGGAGTGATGGTGTATCCGGTTACGACATATTTTGATATCCGGATTTGACACTCGAAAGGTCACCACCACTCAGGGAGAGCTACATATTGCAAGCAGTCGTTCAGGGAGCTACATAATCCGCCGCGGCAGGGGACGAAGGAGTCAAGAAAGTAGAGTGTTTGGTTGGATGATGATGTGGATGGGCGGTTAAATACTGGTCGCAAATTTCATGTCGAGCCGGTCATATCGAACGCATCCAAGGATGGCTTCAGGGAGCTCGTCTTCGGACTTGCCTTCCACCACAAGCGCCATGTCCACGACCAAGGACGCCACGCACATGCGACACATGGACGTGACCTTCTTCGCGATGGAATCGGAGCTCACGTCCACGACGGCTTCCAAGTAATTCTTGCCGCGGAACCACTGCACCTCGAGGGCGTTGGCCAGAATGAACGGCTTGGCGCCAACCGCTTTGCGAATCATCCACGGCCCTTCGACCACGCGTGGGATGAGCTTGAGGCGCGCATTTCGGAAGTCGTCCGTGCCGTCCATGAACGCCCGCCACAGTTTCGAGAACGCGTCTGTGACGCCGTCTGGTCGCAACGCAAAGTACTGCGCATATGTGACATCGGGGGTCCCCGGCAGCAAAATGTTGAGCACAAACAGCTCTCGGTGTGGGTACAGCTCGGTAAAGTGGCGCACGACGCTCTCGGGGCGCTGCGAGATGTGAAAAAACTTGGACCGATCGCCTTGGAACACATCGACCCAAATGAGTTCGCACTCTAGAACCAGTGTTGTGTGAATCGTGTATGCAATATACATGAACAGTGGGGTTTTCGTTTTACTCGCTTCGTCGACTTGTTCTTTCAAGCTTGTGGTCAAGTAGCGTTTGCTGCGCACTTTGAAGTCGGCGGTCCTCGGCTCGCTCCAATTCGACGTCACGTGGGGGTGCTGTTCCACCAACGACGCCAGCGTTGCCTTCCACGACCCTACGACAGCAGCAGCATATCGAATGACATAATATGCTACAGCCAGCTAAATATATGGCACCAATGTCAGGGGAATTGCTGCTGGTGCTGCTTCTCGAGTCCCCGTTAGTCGAACGCGATGTGATGGACTTTGTAGACGGGCGGGGGCCTAGAGAGTCGGACACAACTGCGGCGGCAGTGTCGGTTGGGGCGCGCGACTGAAGCATCTTCAAAACGAGTTTGCCTTTTTACCAGCAATAGACGTGCTTGTCGCTATATTTATCGGCCAATCCCCAAAGCCGTCGAGAAAACCGTCGGAATGGCACGTAGACGTTATACAAACATGACAGGTACAGACTGCTGGCACTGTAATAAATAGTACTTATTAACATTCAATTGGGCTTTCCATCACCGCTAGAACATAACGAATTGTTGCTGCATCGGTCGTGCTTGCTTGGATTCTGGCATTTCTGCTACCCACGCGGGGGGATTGATAGGGGATGGAGCTCCCATATCTCGTCCATCGAGATTGGTTTAGCGGCGGGGGGGGGGGGGGGTACAGCATCACATCCTTGGATGCGGAGCCAACGTACTTGACAAGGCGAGACGTTCATGACTTGCCTATGTAAAACGGATCATATTCCAGCACTGGCGGCGTCGTGGTGGCCACTTGGATTTGTTCACGCAACCTAAGTAAACGTTGTTACTCGTGGTGAGAACGTCCACCATCCATCGGGGGCTCGTACTCGTCGTGCCTCGGCGGTGACGTCGTCGCGTTGTGCAGAGCCGACTCGTCGCTGTTGACCACGTCCAGTTCCTTGAGCGGACGGTGCACCCCATAGCAATGCTTCTTTGCACTACCAACCACCCCCCCATTAGTGAGTTAGTCGATCCATCCAGAGCACTTTGCCTCATACCTTCGGTACGAGTTCTGGTGCTGCACCCCCGCCGACGACGTCCGGCATCGGAACGTGCAAAAGCCAAACAGCGTCAGGTCCGATGGCGGCTGGCCGTACACGGGATGTTTGGGGTCGGCATGGGCCAAGAACGCGTGCACTAGGGCGGTCTGGACCATGATGAGGTCGGAATGAATATGATCATCCTATGTACGTACGTTGGTAGGCCCCATACAGCACGACACACACCGCTCGTACGCCAAACAACAGTGCGGAGCTTCCACGTCGCATGTGCTGCAACTGAAGCGCACGTCGTCACCACAGCAGCCCGTGGGCATGAGACTTCTTCGTTTGCACGTGATGCCGCGGGCGTCCGTCGCGTACACCAATCCGTGGACGGTGTTCTTGCATTGGCCAGTCCACGGTTCGATGTAGAAAGTGTCTCCGCGCAGATGCGGCGGCGGTTTGGCCTTTTGGCCCGGCGCGACGTCGACCAGGATGTGCGCTTGAATCGTGTCGTCTGTGGGTTTGTGGGGGCGTACGTAGTGCAGATTATAGTACTGGTACGGAATGGACACGACAAAACGCACGACGGTGGCTGCGACGAGCAAGAGGAGGAGCGCGAGGACTGGCGTGATGCGGCGCCGTTGTTGTTGGGACGTCGAGGAAAACTGAGAGTTGAAGCAACGGATGTAGTGGTGGTCGATAGCTACAAAGCACGATGACATAGTGCGAGTGCACCACACGTAGCCCCGCCGACCCATCTCCTTGACCACTTGCCACGTGTACGCGGCGACCGCGACTTGACGTCTCCAGGTGTACGTTCGGTCTGGTGTCGACGGCGGCGGTGTTCGAGGAGATGTATCGAAGGCTAAGGCTGCGCGCACAGACTGCGTCCTGTCATAGATCCGTTCTTGCCGCTGCATAGTCGTCCTCAACCGCCCAACAACACGTCACAATGATGATCGACAACGGTTGAGCGAGGAATCGACGCGCTAAAGTGCCGGCAAGAGTGCTCGCGAGTGAAATATGACGCATGAGTTAAAATGGTTAAGCGCGTTTTAAGCGTCCTCAGTGAAAGGACGTCACTTGCGTTAAATAGGTTGGGTACGTTTCGCCATAATTTATGATACCAGTATGTCGAGATCATTATCACGTACTCCAATGTGTCTGTCTTTATTTCTATCTTACGGTGAGATGGAGCTCGGTGCTGTGGCCAGCTTGGCCTTGCGCGCAGCCACAACGTAGCCCACGGTGAGGCACAAAAAGGCAAAAACAGTCCACCATGTGACAATGCGAAACCCGATGCGGTACGTGCACGCTTCGTCGCACGACCAGCCGAATTCGGCGGGTGTGTTGGACAGGATGAAGTCCATGACGAGCCCGGGGATGTAGTTGGAGGCTGCGTACCCGAGAAAGTTGTAGCTAGTGTTGGCCACGGACGACGCGAGCGGCCGCAGCGGCTGCGGCGCGCATGCGATGACGATCCCGGAACACGACGGCAGCAGCGACGCGCCGCAGAAGAGCATGATCCACAGCAAGATGGCAATGAGGTACGTGTTGGAGAGGAACGAGATGGGGAGCGAGGCCACTACCCCGAGGAAGCCCATGATCATGCAGATCTTGAGGGCCTTGGCTTCCTGGCGCGGGCCAGTGTACCCGCCAAAGTAGTCGACGAGTTTGCCGCCAAAGAACACACCTAAGATCGGCCCCGAGCCACTCACGATGAGGTAGTTCAAGTGGATGATGTAGGCGGAATCCGAGGTGTTGGTCGTGAGGAACAGCGTGGTCCAGTACTGCACCCCCGTAACGACAAAGAACAAAGCCGACAGGCCGAGCACCACCGACGTGAACACGGGCGTGCGCAGCAAGATGCCGACGTTGTGCCAGTTGCTGTTGGTGTCGTTGTCGTTGTCGCTGTCGTCGCTGTCTCCCTCTGCTTTGCGGTCGATCTCGTCCAGCGCCTCGGCCACGAACGGAATCGACTGTCGGCGGGGCACGCGCATGCGAATATGCGCTTCCGGGACGAAGAACACCCCCACCGCCAACGGCATGACGATCACCACTTGGGCCAGAAACGGCCACCTCCAGCAGAACAGGCTGAAGCAGCTGGCGTAGCTCTGTCCGACCCACACAATCACGGAGCCCATGAGGTAGCCCAGCGTGACGCCGATGGGCACGGCGCCTTGGAGGTAGCTCATCCAGCTGGCCTTTTGGGACTTGGGTGCGTAGTCGTGCACCCACAGCGGCGCGTACACACAGAGACAGGCCTGGGTGAATCCAATCGCACCGCGAAATATGATGAGCAGCGCGCGAGAGTACCATGCTCCCACGGGTGTGAATGCAAACGCGAGCACAAACAGGTTGTTCAAGACAAGGCTGGACCCGAGGACGATGCGGGGAGAGTAGTGACGAAAGAGGTACCCGCAGAGGGGCGAGCCAAGGGACAGCGCGATGTACACGATCGCACCCAAGAGGCCTTGGTCCTGCGGTGTGAGCTCGAACGCTTCGGTAAACTCCAAGAGCAAGGCAGGCACGACACCCGCTTCCATGTAGACGAAAATCTGCGCAAAGATGATGTACTTGAACAGATACGTCGCCGCGTCTGGCTTTTGCCGGGGCTCGGTGCGCTTCCATGTGCCGTCGACGGCCGGGAGCGTCTCCTTCAGCGTCTGGTACGAGGCGTTAGTCTGCTTGAGCAGCGCTTGCGACTCCACGACCATTGTGAAAAGCCCCACTGCCAACTAAGTGCTCCTGCTGCCGTCAGGACGAGGCAACATGTGTTGAAGTTTATTCTATTTTCATGAAATCATACAAACACCAAGTCTATTGGTCAAGAATCGGTAGTTGTCGGTATTTTAATAATCACTTCGTTGTTTCTCCCAAGTATTTCCCATGAAATTGATTGACCAGTGGGGGAAAACTTCACCCTGTGTTCAATCCATATCCGAGCATTTGCGGATATTTGGAAGGCGATATATATCCAAATTTGAAATGTCGAGATTTTTCAAAATGGTGTTGACGATGTGTTCAAGGCCAACAACACGGCCGCCGTACCTTGAGTTCAAATATACTGCATATCGTAATAAATTTATGAAAAATGGATTGTGCAAGGGAATCTCACGACTGGACGATGCATCCATGCGAACATGCCAAACTTGCTCCTGGTAGAACATCATGTTTGTACGCGATAACATCGACAAATCGTGTGCTGTATAGCTTAGTTGGTATGCATTAACGTGTGTGCACCGTGTGTGAATTATGATCATTGGACGTTGGTATTGACTGAATCAATCACACTACATAGCGGGGAATCAATTATATGTAACGTTACATGGTCAGTGACGAACGGGACTCGAGGAAATACGTGCGTAAGCCTAGATTACCTGGTTATACTGTACAATATCCGTAGTGAATACCGCCAGCCCACCCAATCGGTATGAAAGAGCCGAGGCAGTTGCGGCATCGATTGCCACGTTGATCCCGCAACTGCCTCGGCTCGTGCATACAGTACCTACCTTCGAAGGCTTGTAATGTGCGAGTACACCGTGTGCAAACCTGTGTAGAAACAACAAACGCCACGCCAACTCCGTACCATCCCTACCCACCAGTGCTGCCTGCGCCAACATGGTGCAGTGGTTGTCGGCTCCACGACTGGTCCAATCGCGTTTTGATTCCATTCCCTCTATAATTGCATTTTTCGGATATCAAGAACTCCCCAAAAATATCCAGCTCCAGACATGGATATTTTTGGCGGATATTTGGCTTGGGAATATCTGGGACATTGAAAAAAATCGTATGTCAATGGAATTTCGAAATATCCGGATATATCCACTAAAATATCCGCATTTGGCCGAAATGTGCGAATATTTGGCGTCATTGAACACATATTGCAAACCGGTTACTACAAAGTATTTTTATCCGGACATTCTATCACATTTGGTGATCTCAATTTTGGAATATAGCATTCTTGTAGCGCATAATTATGATCGCAAATTGATATTTCAAGCATGACATTCTACAGTTTTCGGTGATGAATGTGAATATCTTCTGACAATGTTGTAGGATAGGACTAGCTCGCTTGCTTTATGGTTGCCACGTCCAGCCCCCCGAGAGGAGGGTAGCAACAGGCACGCGGACTTGGTCCATGCTGTCGCGGTTCCTCACAGTCACAGAGCCATCCTCCAACGTGTCGAAGTCCACTGTCACGCAGAACGGTGTGCCGATTTCGTCCTGGCGACGGTATCGCTTACCTACATGGACGATGGCATGACACATATTTACACGGCGGATATGGTCAATCTTGTGCGTACCGATAGACTGGGTCACGTCAAAATCGCAACTGGCGAGCTTGGCCAACTGGACATAGATCTCGTTGGCTTTTTCTGCCAACACCCCCTTGCTCTGCAGCGGCAGCACTGCAAACTTGTACGGCGCAATATCCGGGTGAAGGCGCAGAACCGTGCGTTGTCTACCAGGACATCCATCATCAAGCCCCCCCTTCCGATGTCCACATCCGTACCGCCCATTGACTTCTTCTTCGTCATATGCATCGAGCAACATGGCCAGCATCACGCGCCCAGTGCCCAACGCTGGCTCGACCACATGCGGCAACAACGTCTACATCATTATCGTCGAGTAGTTAGTGCAAACTCGTCATGCCAACAAACCTACCTCGCGCGTCGTCGGGTCCACGTATTGAAGGTCCTTGGATGACGCTTCCATGTGTTTCTTCAAGTCAAAGTCCGTGCGGTTAGCAACTACCGCAGCAACGATCAAAACCAATCCATTCATATTGGACACGTACTGCCCCACAATTCACTCCACCCAAACGGATACAGAAACTCAATGTCGGTCGTGGCTCGGGCGTAATGGGCCAGTTCCTACGTTAAAATTCAATTGTGTCGTCATATATATATATATGAAATAGTATGATCTCCTTACCGCTTGGTCATGGACGCGCTTCTTCAGGTTCGATGGCTTGACTCCGTGCTGCACCAACCAGTTGAAGCACTCGTCGACCCAGTACGAGAACCTGTGGATATTGTTAGCTATATATATATGCATATATACATCAATACAGTGATAACACATACCAAGTGTCCGAGTCTGTGGGATGGCAAAAGTACTGCAGTTCCAGCTGCTCAAACTCGCGGGTGCGAAACAAGAAGTGGCCCGGAGAGATCTCGTTGCGGAACGATTTGCCCATTTGGCCGACGCCGAACGGCAGACGGCGTCGCATGGTCGTGACAACGTGCTGGAAGTTGATGTACGCGCCTTGCGCCGTCTCAGGGCGCAAGTACACCCATTCACTAACCAGAAGATGGGATTGGACATGGGTGGCGGGGTTCTACCTGGTGTCGTCGGTGGAGCCCATGTTCGTGCGGAAGAGGAGGTTGAACTGCCGAGTCTTTTGCAGCTGGTCGCTGCCACAGGTCGGACACGAAATCTTGTGCTGGGCGAGAAGCGCGTCGATTTCTTCGCATGTGAGGCCGCCCGCGTCTGGAATGCCCGTCACGTCCGACTTGTTCTCGATGAGTTTGTCAGCGCGAGATCGGCTGTTGCAGCTTTTGCACACGGTCATGGGGTCTGTAAAGTTGCCAATGTGCCCTGACGCTTCCCAAACTACGCAGCTGGTCGTGAATGGGATTTATGTGGACGGGGTGTAGAGAGGAGGCTACCTTTGGAGTTTAAGATAACCGACGAGTCCAAGCCAACGCAATCGGTGCGAGATTGCACAAAGTGCTTCCACCATGCATCTTGGATGTTCTTCTTCATCTGGACCCCGAGCGGGCCGTAGTCAAAGCTGTTGGCGAGGCCGCCGTAGATGTCCGAACCAGGAAAGACAAACCCCCGATGCCGACATAGCGTCACAACCTTCTCTTGGAGGTTCGTGTCGGTGGCTAATGTGGTTTTGAGCCGACGCAGGAGACGGCTCGGACGACTCGCCGCCAATTTCGTCACGCGGTGCAGCTGCATGGCTTTGTTGGTCAAGGTACGTCAAAACATCCGGATAAGCCGACTTCGTTTATCGGATGTGGGCATGGCAATCACGCGATAGAGCGATGACGCTGCGCGGAGGAATCTCTATATTTCGAGTAGTAGAATCATACCGAACACAAAGCTCGATGAACGATGTCGCATAGACGGGAGATGCCAAAATAGCGCCAATCAAGGGGAACTCGACATCGAATTGTTTGGTGGTGACTGTTGGAGGCGCTTTGCGATCCTGGTGAACGAATACCATTAACGCGATTTCGGTTTTACTCCGTATTTGACAGCTGTGAACCACCTTTGAACCTAGTAAAACGTGTTTTTATTCCGAATCTTCATTGGACATTTCACGACATGGGGCTCGCTGACGACCAACTGTGGCCAGCCAAGGCCATGTATGGCATCAACAACTTTGCACTCAGCACGGTCCTGAACTTTCTTCCCGTCTTCTTCAACACGTACTTCGACAAGCTCCAGATCGGCATCCTCGCTGCCATTCCTTGCGTGTGTTCGGTGGTGGCGCCGCCACTTTGGGGGGCGATGGCAGACGTGTTGCACCAGCAGCGGTGGGTGCACATCTTCTGCATCTTGTCAGGCACACTCTTGATGTTCTTGATCGAGTTCTCCATATCGAACTTCTACCTCACGTGCGTTGTCGTGTTTGTGGCCAATTTTCAAACCAACCCGACAGGATCCCTCCTGGATCAAGCGGTCATGGCCCTCCTGCATCGCGTGGGCGGCGAATACGGCAAGCAGCGTCTCTTTGGCGCAGTAGGGTGGGGCGTCGGGGCCTTCCTCACTGGGCTGGTGGTCAACACATATGGAATATCCTGGGCCTTCAACCTCCACTTGATCTTTTGCGTTCCCACGCTGTGCGTGTTGAACTTGATTCCACCGGCGGACCCCAAGGACTCGACGTCGCAGGCACCGACGCTGTCGTTCTGGGAAGGCATGCGACGTATCGGGCAAAAGGCTGACGTCGTGCTCCTCCTCGTAGTCGTGTTCTTGATCGGACTCATGTTTGGCGTCGTGTCTTCGTTCCTCACGCTCAACTTGTACGAACTGTCCAACCACTCGACCGCCGTCGTGGGTACGGCCATCTGGTTCGAGACCCTGTCGGAACTCCCGGCGTTTTACTTTGCCGACGCCGTCCTCAAGCGCCTCGGCATCCTGAACGTGCTTCTCCTGTCCATCCTCGGCTACGGCGTCCGCATCTCGTACTACGCCGTCATGACCAACGCATGGAGCGCGCTGCCCTTTGAACTTCTGCATGGCGCGACATTTTCACTGGCATGGGCCGCCTGCACGCAGTACATCTATGACGCCGCCCCCCCAGGCACTGAAGGCACGATGATGGGCCTCCTCAACGCCGTGCTCAATGGATTGGGGCGGGGCACAGGCACCTTGCTGGGTGGGTACCTCTACGAACATTACGGCGCCAGCTTCATGTGGTTTGCCGCGGATTTGGGGGTCCCGGTAGCCCTCGTGGGCCTGTTTCTGTTCTCGCGCACCATGCCTAATCAACAGCCTCTACCACCGACGCTACACTCAACCACATCGATTGACGTCAAGGCTGAATAGTAGGGAGATGTAGTACTACTACTTTTGATGACCAATCTTTCAATAAATGCATTCGCTGCCTTGCTCATCACGACATGACGTCAACAAGAATGTACGGACAATTAAAGCTCTTTAGCAAACACGGAATTTGACCATATTTCGGAGATGACTTCTCTTTTTCTTTTTCCGTAAAAATTGAAAGCAAAGTAAAAGCAAGGGATTTTATATCGACGATTTCGGTGATAACAATTTTTCCCTATCCGTAGACTAGTTGGAGCCAAATTCGTGGACTTCGTGGATGATCGGCGAGGTGATTGTGAAGTCGTCCCATGGGTCATTCGCCGTTGAACCGTTGGGGCTAGTAGGGACGACAAGGCATGATTGGCTGTCATTAATTATTGACTCTTTTAAGATTTCTGTACAACAGTAGAGTTACTGATCTCCCCCCGACTTGGAAACGGGGTAAAATAAATATTCTCTATGTCCTAATAATATAAAATGTTGAGGGAATGTTTGAATATTCAAATAACATCGCACTTTTGACCGCAAATCACTTCAAGATGAAACAGCGGATGACACTGGCCGAGAAGAATGGCTTGTACGCGGAGCACAAGCGAAACCCTCAAGCTACATACAATGAATTGGCTAAATGGGCGGCGAAAAAATTCAAACTCGAGACAAATCCAACAAAATCTGCGATTGGAAAGGCCCTTCAGCGAGGCGCATCGCAATCCCAGCGCGTAGACAGCAAATCACGATATATTGATCGTGCAGTTAAATCTCCCGAACTCGAAACCGAACTACTCCAATGGGTCCTACGCTGCGAGGAGCTTGGAGTCTGCCTCACGGGTGAGCTCATTCGCGAGCAGGCCAGGACAATCGCCACTCGTCTCGATCTGCTCCCTTCGCAATGTTCCACCTACTCAAAAGGCTGGCTTTATAAGTTCCAGCGCAAGCATGGCCTTACCAGCAAGATTCAGCATGGAGAAGCGGCGTCAACCCCACGCGAAGCTGTACGACAAGGCCGTGAAGAAGTCCTAAACACCACAAGTGGTTACAGCCCGGCCAACGTGTACAACATGGACGAGACGGCCTACTTCTACTGCTTGTCACCTCATCGTTCCATCACTCGACAGCGTGTTCCCGGCACGAAGAAGTTAAAAAAAAGGATTACCATGGCACTCACCACAAATGCAGACAGCTCCGACATTGTTGACCCAATGTTCATCGGCAAATTCGTGCAGCCACGGTGCTTTCAAGGCCGGTCTTCTAGCGACCTTGGTTTTAACTACCAAGCAACCAAAAAGGCATGGATGACATCCGAAGTCTTTCAAACTTATCTCAAGACCATAAACGATCGCATGGTCGCCGAAGGCCGGAAGATTTTGCTGCTTGTTGACAACGCTCCCTGCCACGACCCCACTGCTGCCGAGGATCTGTCAAATGTTGATTTGAGGATGCTCCCAAAGAATACAACCGCTTACCTGCAGCCTCAGGACGCAGGGATCATTGCGTCGTTCAAGGCAAGCATCAAAAAGCGTCAGCTGAAGAACGCCTTGGACCAGATTGACTCAGTCATGGCTGGTCGCCAAGACAAGCTCTACGAAGTTTCGTTAGTAGTAGCAATGGAGTGGGCGAAGGACGCTTGGCGCTCTGTGGCACCATCGACAGTGGTGAACTGTTGGCGACGTACCGGAATCCTTGACAATGACTTGGCTGCGTTCAGCGAGCGAATGGCTCAGGTTCAATTGCAGTGACGAAAGGTTCTGTAAAAACGAATAACCTTTTGAGTTTATGAACTGTGAGAGTTTTTATTTTTATTTGTGTCCAA